ACATCTCTCTCTCTCTCTCTCTCTCTCTCTCTCTCTCTCTCCCTCTCCTCATCGTGAAAAAAGAAAGAAAGAAAGAAAAGAAAAAACGAGTAAAAAATTTCCTTCTCGAAGGAAGCAAACAGACAAAAAGACGGATAATTTCCTTCCAACCGCTCAATAATATACCAATTTACATTCGTACATGTACACACAAATAATTCTTAATTCCTCGAGACCCACGAGAGAAAAAGTCGTATCATCCGTGTGAAAAATATCAACCGCTCAATGATACCAATTTATATTCATACATACATATATACCCACAAATAATTCTTAATTCCTCGAGACCCATCCCACGAGAGAAAAAGCCGTATTATCATCCGTGTGAAAAATATCAGAGCTTACCGCAGTAATGGACCAGGATATGAAGAGTGCCCGCGTGAATCCGGGAGTCGCACCAGGAAGTGGTGTCTACCTGGGGCTCGAACAGGGAGAGATCGAGGCCCTCCATGTCGCTCTCGCCGCAGGAGTCGCTCAGGGGCTCGAAATTGCCGGCGTTTCCCACCTCGTCCTCGTTCGCCGTTTCCTCCGAGAGGTTCTCGCCGCCTCCGCCGCGGCATCGTGTCGGAGTCAACGCCATTCTCTCCTCGGGGAAGAAGAAATCAGCAACTCCCCCGGCAAGGGCGCTCCTTTCCCGAAACCGAAACGCCCCTCCAAACTATCTAAATCTAAATCTGTATTCCGAGGGAAAATTTTCCCTTTTTTTTTTTTTCCCTTCGTCGCAAAATTCTACTACTCCACTCGATTCATCGTCGTCGCTTGCCGGCTCTCGATTCGGAAACTGAAAGCACAACCAGCGGGAAGGAGCGAAGATTCGTGAGATAGTTCGAGAGACGCGAAAGCGAGCCGAGGCATATCGAGGCATTCCCCCCCCCCCTTTTTTTCGCGGCACAGTTTTCACGCAACATCGCCTTCCGTCACGCGGCGTTTCTGTTTTAATTTGTCAATCGTCCGAGTTTTGTCGGGTGTTCCAATAGCGCGGTCGAGTGTAACGTTTCGTACTCTTTTCGAATCTTATTATCTTATTCGAATCCATCGAATGGAAGGAAAGATATAAGACAAAGGTTAAAGGAGAAAATTTCAATCTTAATTGTATCATGTATAATTAATCGAGTATTTCATACGAAGTTATTATCGAAAGTAAATTTCGCTCGAAATTTTCATTAATTAATTTTCCACTCCACGCGTGATAATTATCGTGCGAATTATATCTCGCGAATAACGTTCGAGGACTTTTGATAATCGGACGATGTCGGCGAGCGAATATCGTATTTAACGACAAAAATGTTTTGCGTTTGTTTTTCTTCGATACACGCGAGGAGTAAAAAAAAAAAAATTACACACAAGAGGACAAAGGTTGAAATTTTATGATATACGTTACGTGTAATATTCTTGTCACGAGATTTGACGTTCGATAAATTCGATCCTCCTTCTAACTCTTCCCGGTTATACAGTAATTTGGAAGAAATAATAGAGAAAAAAGGACGATAAACAGTTTGAGACAAAGTTTCGAGAGACAGAGAGTTTTGAGAGCACGTATTGAGAGACGGAGTGGATCAAAGTTACACGTCCGTGGGCTTAGGAAAGAGAGAGCCGAGTGCACTCTCGCCATGACTTTTGAAAGTGGAGCTCCACTCCCGTGTCTGAAACGCCAAGAAGACCCTCTTTAATTAAGCGAGCTTGTAATTAATTGCCTGTTCTCCATCCCCCGCGCGACACGTCGACGAGAGTTATGACCTATCCAACAATCTTGCAGGACTCATCCCATCCGCCCCCAAACGATGCTTTTTCCTCCGATCGAGATGAAATCGAGCGGTGAGAAAAGCACCCTCGATGGCGAGTCGACATAGAAGAATAGAGGATGGAAGATTAGATTATATTAAAAATAATATTCGAAAAACGGATGGAAAAATCTCTTTCAACATTCCTCCGACGAAACGAACGAGTCGCGTGTCTCTCCTTCTTTATTCGAACTTTCGAATTCCTCCGAGCGAGCGACTCTTATCTGTCCAACCAACGCGAGAAATTAACTCTTCGTCAAAGCAATTCTTCTTCTTTCTTTTTTTCCGCTTTGTATCGCTCTTCGAACGAGAATAATCAGCGCGTAGAGATTTCGTGTGGAAATAACGATATAATAATAATATACGAGCGATCGTATCGAAACAAGGTGAGCTTTGAGAGAGAAAGAAAGTGTGAGAGAGAGAGAGAGAGAGAGAGAGATCGGTCGGGTAAAAAAATCGGCGAATTTGAATTTGAAAGAGGGTATTAAGAGGATATTAATTTGTGCCGGTGATTTTGAACGTGGCGCGTGTCGTTCATTTTTCTCCCCCTTGATCTATCTATCCGCTTAATTTTCATAACGCCAAGATTCACTTTCGAGGTAATGGAACGCAAAGGGGACATTAATTACACGGATCCACGTGAACGAGATATATCGCGACGGCAGCCTGGCGTGCACTTATGTCGATAAATTATTTACACGTATTTACATGGACCGCTTCCTGTGCCGGCCGGGCCCGCCACTGCGGATGCAAAAGCGAAAAAACCAGTTTCATTGAAAAAGGATAACGGTGTGGCGAGGTGAGCTCGCATGCCATGAACCGGCTTCACGCGATGAAAATCTATTACCGATTATTTGCACGCGGCTGTTGGCCCAACAACCGTTCCCATTCAGGGAGAAGAGCGGGGAGAGAGAGAAAAAAAGGCTCAAATTTTCAATCTTATTAATATTATTGAATCGTTTGAATCGTTTTCGAGAGGAATTCTTCTTTATGGAAATTTATCCTCCTCTCGAGCTTCTCGCATATTTTTTTGTTACTAACTTTTTTTAAAACTTATTAGAATAATTTTATTTTAATTTAATTTTAATTAATTTAATTTTATTTTAGTTGATATTTCTTCTTCTTTTCTTTTTTTTTCATTCTTCAGTTCTTTCTATAATATTGAAATTGTATTCGAAATATACTGTGAATATTCGAATATATCTGCAAATTTCAGAAGAAGAAGAATTTCAATTATCGTGGAATCGGTTTAATTTTTCTTAAAATCATAAAATTCCTTGATAAATTAAATTAAAATTTGTTATTCAAATTTTTACCGATTCGGCATCGAGTTCATTTTTATTCCATATTATAAATGTTACTTTAACCCTTTGCACTCGTATGTCGCCATATAGGCGACATTATATATTTTACCGTTGCACTCGTATGTCGCCATATAGGCGACATTATATATATTACCGTTGCACTCGTATGTCGCCATATAGGCGACATCTTACATTATTTGGGGTCAAATTATAGCCAGATAATATTACATAATATTCATTTGATTAAATTTATTTACAATTAATTAAAATCATGTTTTCAAGAAATATAATGTCCCTAACATATTACATAGATTTTCATATTTCAAAAGAGTGTGAGATGCAGATTAAATATGTTTATTTGCTAATTTTTTCTACTAAACCGGAAATTTTAATTTTAATGTTATGTTCGCATAAAAATATTTTCCTTTCGATTGATTATGAAAAAAAATTCCGAGTTGATTGGTATCCTTATCGAATATATATACGAGTGCAAAGGGTTAAATTATTCGTTAGAAAAAAAAATAGAAAAACAAAATAAAACTATTCTCTCCTGTTCACGACTCTCAAAAGAACCTCACTCTCGCAAGGCAGAAAAAGGGAAGGGCGCACGGACAAATCGCAACCGAGCCAGTCCAGTCAAACACGGTTTGACAAATCCCTGCAGTATCGTTGATTTAAAGAAACGTTTGCTGATTCGATCTCGTTTCTCTCCTCCTTTCCCCTTTCCCCCTTGCACGGCTCGGCGTTACACCTCGGCTCACCTTACCCTACACGCATAACCGAGTTCCAGAACGGCCAGATGGGAACGCGTTCCACCAGATTCGAGGCATTCGAGATACGGGCGATCCCTCGAGCCATTGGAAGAGCAATTAGGTAACGCCGCCCGATCCCCTTCCGCGTTTCTTCCGCGGCTGACAGGAAAAACTTTCGCGGGATCGAACCCTTGTCCCCTCCCCCTCCTCCTTATCTCCTCCTGCACTCCGCCGATTTTATCGATTCCCCGATAACTTAAGAGCCAATTACTTCCCTCTCTCCTCAGTTTGATTACTTGGAAACTTGTTTCGAGGGTTTTTATGCACTTCGTTAAAGAAAGAGAGAGGGAGAGAGAAAGAGTGATCACGTTCGCTCGAGTGTTTTGCGCATTGGAAAGGAAGCTCGAAAAAACGATCAATGGGCAGATTGACGATTTGGAAATAAGATTTCGAATCGAGGAAAAGAGAAATCGTTGGATCGTTGGATCATATCATATCTTGGATATTTATTTTTAAATAATCACATAATCACCCTGTGTGACGAAACTTGAAATAATAAATTCTTCATCCCTCCCCTTATCGTCGTATTCCTTATGTTAAAAATACGGCGAAGACAAGAGGGGAGGGGGGAAGAAAGCGGCGAATTTGAATCGAGACTCGCTGCCACGGTTTTGTAAAAGTCGGAGAGAGAGAGAGAGAGAGAGAGAGAGAGAGAGAGAGAGAGAGAGAGAGAGAGAGAG